CTGGGAAGGAGGAATCCCCAGCACACCTATAGGTTGGGGAGTGTCCTTCTCAGCAGCTCAGAGGCAGAGAGGGATCTTGGAGTCATAATTGACTCCAAGATGAACATGAGCCGGCAGTGTAACGAGGCCATCAACAAGGCCAATCGCACCTTGTCGTGCATTAGCAGGTGCATGACTAATAGAACAAAGGAAGTGATGCTCCCCCTCTATGCGGCACTGGTCAGGCCGTAGTTGGAGTGCTGTGTCCAGTTTTGGGCGCCACGCTACAAGAGGGATGCGGAGAATCTGGAGAGCGTCCAGAGGAGGGCCACTTGCATGATTAGTGGTTTTCGTGATAAACCCTACGGGAGGAGGTTGAGACAGCTGAATCTCTTCAGCCTTCACAAGAGATGGCTGAGGAGAGATCTTGTGGCTGCCTATAAATTTATTAGGGGAGGTCAACGGGGAATAGGGGAAGCGCTGGTTACTAAGGCGCCCCAGGGACTGACTAGGAATAACAGGTGTAAACTAGTTGAGAGTGGATTTAGGTTAGATATTAGGAAGAAATTTTTCACAATAAGGGTGGCCAGGATCTGGAATGGGCTTCCAAGAGAGGTGGTGCTGTCACCTAGCTTGGAGGTCTTCAAGAGGAGGCTAGATAGTCACCTGGCTGGGGTCATCTGACCTCGGTCCTCTTTCCTGCCAGGGACAGGAGGTCGGACACGATGATCCATTGTGGTCCCTCCCCACTCTACAATCTATGAATCTATGGTTTATAGTTCATACTCCAGTGATTCTCAACCAGGGTGCCATGCCATGTGATCCTTTTAAGGGTCCTGTGGGCTATGGCACAATATTAGCACTGTTAAGTTTGCCAACGTCCACACATGATTCAAAAGGCACACCTGGAGATTTCAAATATTCAAAGAATCCAGGGTGTCAAAATATGTAGTCTTTCTGCATTGTTTGCAACAAAAGAATTGCTCAGTTATTTTTCCATAGTCAAATCTGAGTGAAAGCTAAAAAGAGGCATTTTCTGAGTGGTGCCTTGTGTCTAACAAGATTAAGACCCACTGCCCTGCTCCAAAAAATGTTTATTTATTTATGCAAGGTGGAATAGTATTAACAGAAAAGACTGGGAGTAACCCCATCCCAGAATACTATGTAACGGTAGTTACATGGAGGGGAGTTCAAATCCTTGCTCACAGAGAAGGAACTGAATCTTATTTTCCACATTCTGCATAGCTGCTTTTACCACTGGGATATTGGGTGTCAGATATCACCTCTGCCTCTACCAGTTTTGTAACTCAAACCCTGGAATTTATTTTCCCAACATGAACTGGTTGGGGGATTCCATTCAAACTTGGAAAGTTTCTGAGTGACTGAAAACATACTATTTAGGAAAATATACTATTTACTTAAAAAAAAGAAAATCACCCCTCTAGTCACGTATTTAACAACTCTGAATTTTTATGCATCACATCCCTTACCTGGTAGTATTATGTATTAGTATTAGTAACTCACCAAATCTATGTATCAACTATGGTTGGCAAGCCGATCAATTGAGCAGTCAATTGACTGCATATTTTTTGACCAGTCAAAGAATATAGCAATGTTACAAAAAAATGTAGGTTTCTTGACAGATGTATGATTTTTTATTGTTTTTGACACGTTTCTTCATACAAAATTTGTGCTTTTTCAGTGTATTATTGTTTTTATAATTTTTTTTTCCAATATTTGACCAGTCAATTGACTGAACTTTATATGACCATTCCAATACTTTATTTGACCAGTCAAACAGTACCAACAGCCTTGGTCTATTTCTAAACTTGTTCTTCTGACCGGTAGATCATATTTAGAAAATATTCCTCTGATGAAACTGTTTATCTCCAGTCTGCCACAATGGGCTTGAATTTAACTCCATTGAAACATGTTCTTATGACAGCATACCATTTGGCACTAAACATATGATGTCTGAATATTATTATCCTGTGCTCATTTGTGCAGGTGTTATATAAGCTCTTAGCTAATCTTGTTACTGCTGCTGGTACAGAATCTACTTGCTTACCTAACACAAACAAGATTCTTTAGCATTTTGACAGGGTTTCTTTCCCCAAGCATCTGTTTAGTGTCTGGAGATCTCAACTGCGTCTTTAGAGCACAGACTAGCGTGCTGTAATCAGCGGTGTTTCCATGCTGTACCCTTTCTATGCAGTCCTCCCACCAAGTGATTGAGAAAATAATGAAATCCTATTAATTAGATGGTGAAATACAACTATTATCTAGCCTGTATAGCCAATGTGATCATTGAAAAGGTCAACTTAAATTAATCCTATGCAATCAGTAAAATCACTCCACATCAGTAACTAAGAAAAGGAAAAATCAGCCTTTAAAGAGCTGCACCTCACAGCTCTTACTGTAACATTTATCTTCTGCACTAAGGTAGATTTTTCATTTCCTGTTTGAAAACCCAACCTATTTCTAAGACCAGGCTGGATAGAAGAGAGAAAAATTCTGTGTGTGCGCGCGTGTGTGCATGAGAGAGAGAGAGAGCGCAAGATTTGCAGTATGATAAGAAAAAGTGTGTTGGTGAGTAAGTGTATTGTATTAATGCATTCTGAATTGAATCAAGATCTGCCATATCATTTACCATACGCTTGTTTCAGGAAGATGTGTTGGAAAAATATAGGTCTTTGAAAAAAACCCTTATTCTACTCTCACTAAAATCAATGAGAGGCTTGCCTTCCATTTAAGAAGATATAGGATAGTATGGCAGGCAACTACGTCTGTAAATGTTACTCTTCAACAAAATTATGAGCTTGTTTTGTTTTGGGTTACTTTAAAAGAAGTCAATTTTTAAATAATAAGGAATTTGCAATATAGCATAATTCACCAAAATTGTTAAAGAAACAATTTGAAGGAGACCAGTTCTGTTAACACTTGGTCTCAAAATATTAGCCAAGTAGAGACTGATTTTTTCTTTTGTTTTCTTTTCATTTTACATTTTATTTCTCTCACAGAGGTGAATATTTTGATTATTTTATTTTATTCTTTCTACCTGTAAAAGATACTCAAACTGGTGACATGGAGATTGATATAAAGTTGAAGATGTCCTAGAGAATAAGACGACAAAGAAATATGAACTTTAGCATAACAAAAAATATTGAAATATGTAGACGCACTTTTCCCATTTTGTTAAATCTCTCTCTCAACCTGTGTTTAAAGTCAACATAGATTCAAACAAACCAAAGCACTGAACACTGTGTGTCATTCATAACTGTTATGAATCATTAAACTCACAGGTGATAATGATTCAACATATTCTGTTTCTGAAATCACGTGTTAATAGTATCGCAATCCTTCCTCAACATAATGAGATTATTATTTACACTTGTCAGCATAGTGTGTGATGTCCATGTGTGAATAAGCTATCTTTCCTTGTCCTTGTTGGCTTTAGCCTTTGCCTTTATTTTGTCAGATCGAGCCTGGCTAGTAGAACCAAGGAAGGTCCAGAAGCTTCAGGAAAAGATTTACTTTGCACTTCAACATGTGATTCAGAAGAACCATCTTGATGATGAGACTTTAACAAAGGTAGCTCCTTATACCACACAACAGGATAAACCAGAAATGTTACATTTGATAGGAAATTCTATCATTTTGTGCGGGCTTGTTTGATTTGGTAAACAACAGCAAGGTTTTTTTTTCCGAAAACAAGGAAGAGGCCATTACAATTCACATCTCTCTGCCACCCTGTCCTATTTCCTCCCTTCTCCTTCCAGCTTTCTTATTTTGAGAATAAGAATGCACTAAGGAGCTCTTTTCAGTATGGAGCTCTTTCATTTTTGTCTTAAATGACCTCTTCTTTCTCCAAGACATTCACATTTGATCTTGAATTAAAAGACCAACCTAGGCAACCAAAGTCTGCTCTCTTACAGAGGTCATTTGAAAAGTTTTCACACTCTAGGTGAATCACAATCACTCCTCTACCCAAAAGATTGCTACCCCAATTCATTTTGGAAATCATTTTTTTTTTATTCTAAATAGTCTTTCTCTCTCTATCTCTCTTTATGTCCTACAGTTAATAGCCAAGATACCAACCATTACTGCACTTTGCAACTTGCACGGAGAGAAACTGCAGGTATTTAAACAATCTCATCCAGATATAGTGAACACGCTCTTTCCTCCATTATACAAGGAGCTTTTCAATCCAGACTCTACCACTGGCTGCAAGTGAAGGGGAGATAGAATTGTCACATAGTCATGGAATGCATCACTGTTAAGACGAAAGAAATGTTTTCATGAAGAACTTATTTAAAATGTCACTACTGCAACACTAGGAATGTCCTGCACTTAATAGAATTATTTTTCACCGCTACAGTTTGAAGAATGTAAATATGCACCTCTGAGTGGGGCTCTTTTTTCTTTTATTTTTTTTGAACTGACCATAAACATAAAAAATATAGACACTGGGTGTTACCTTTTTTAATTTTATTTTATTGGGGTATGTTTTGGGAGACAACTGTTCATAGAATTTTATTGTAGATATAAATGAGAATAGAGCAGTACTTTGCAGTATTACTCTTGCTGTTTATTGTTCAAATATAATTTAAGAAAATTTCACTTATTAGACTTGCCTATTTCTATGTTTTTAGATAGTTTAATGCATGTTGAAATTTGTAGCTGTCTTGAAAATTGTTGTGCATGTATGAAACATACATATATGTATATGTACTATATACACATACATATATATGTAATATATGCACAATGTTGTAGCTTAAAATCCCATGCCTATTTTCAAAGGATGCTCAGTCAGGCTCTCCTGAATTTTTTACTCTCCAACTAATATATTAGATTTTCGTTGGGTAATTGGGATTTTGCTTTGTCAGCTAGATTTAAATCATCAGTCTCCAATCTATAGTGACAGGATGGTACCACTTCTGAGAAATGTGTAATGTAGTGCATGTCCATAGCTGGTAAAGGAAACATCAGGATTATATCAATGGTGCAAAAGCCTTGTCTGGATGATTCAAGTGTACAGAGGAAAAGTTTGGAATTTTTTCCCTGTTACAGGAATAAGACATATGTAGAAATTAACAGTACAGGACAAGAGGCCAGTAAGGAATCTGGAATATGGAGTAAAAATGTAAATTATCCCAAACAGTATAAACTTTTACTTATAAGCTTTTGTTGGGTCCCAAAAATGTACTGTTTGGGCTAATTTACTTGTTTGTGACTCAACTGAAGCTTATATTTTGTTTTTTTCTTTGAAAGCAGTATGCAAGGCCTGATCTTCAATAGACTTCTATTGAAGTCTATAGAAAGATTCCCATTGACTTCAGTGAATGCAGGCCCAAAGTAGTTTTTAAAAGTAAGCATGAGATGATGATGACAATGAGACTGGTGACAGCAAACTGTCACCAACTAAAACATGATCAGCTGCTAAATGAAACCAGAGGGTTTCCATTTCATATTAATTTGCGATGTTTGAGTGATCCTATTACAGCTTCAGGAAGAAGTAGGGGATTGTTTGGGTGGATTCTTTTCTACAGAAGGAAAAAACAGCAACCCTACAGCAGCAACATTCAGATGTGGATGGAAAGTTGACCCAGACCATTCCCCAAAAACTGGGCTGCTCTACTCCATTGTATTCATTTTTGCCAGTCTCTTTGTACTGGAGGAAGGGGAGTAGGAGGTTAACAGAGTATGAAAAAGCAGTAGTGAATAATTCATTCATTTATCTCAGATCCACACAGGTAGAGGCCTTCTACCTGTGAAAGCACAGGCTATTCAGCTTCTGCCATGATGATCTCTACCATTCATTTCGTCTGAGGAGACTACTCCATATGGTCTAAAATCTATATGGGATCAGATGACAGGAAAGGCGATTTCTGAAACAGGGCTACAAGGAGATACATTCTTTACTCCCAAGTTCCTGCCATAAAAACTATGGCATGCCACACAGTGCAATTACTATAATTTTTTTTGTAATGGCCACAGGCTGCATGGAAAGCCCTGTCTTTAGGTTCCTCTGAAGCTGTACTGATATGGAGCTGGAGGAGACACCCAAGGGAACCTGAGCAGGGATATTATATGGTTAGTCTGAAGCTTCCATCCAGTTTCAGGGGCTCTGAAAGGTTCTGGTTTAATCCTTCTCTCCCTTTCTTTTGGAGGGAATAGTTTGCAGTTTTCTTTTCCCCCAAAAGCCACTTCTGTATTCCTTCTGCACGGACAGGGCCTATTTAGGCAATGTTAATAATTGCTTGTTGATGATGTTCATTTTCCTTAGCACTCACGCACCAGATACAACAGCAATAAATTAAGGAAGCAAAATTCTCTACTCTTCACATAACACAGAGTGTCAAACATATGGCTTGTGGTCTGGATCCAGCTCTTGGAGCTGAGGGATCCAGCCTTGGGGTCACTGGAAGAACCCTATGCACCAGCGCAGCCCTACTTTCTGCATGAAGCACATGGGCTGGACCTCATGCCATACATGCTGAATGCTGCACAGGGGTCAGTCCAGGGTGTATGCACGCCCTGTACCAGCCCCACATGCTGCATACACAGTGAGCCCCAGGGCTGGTGCATGTGGACTAGACCCAGCAGTATGGCTGCTACATAGAGGACTGGCCCTCTATGTACAAAGTAAAAAATACAAAGTAAACCTGACTGTGCTTCAGAAATTACTTAGGAATGTAAATGATCAGTTTCTAAATTAACTTTTCTCAAGTGGAGCCAAAAGGGTTTTCTCACCTGGAGCCATGTACCCTGATATTCCTAATCAAACTGAAATGTCTGTAATTATAGTAAAAGGTATTTGTACTTCCCTAGTAACTTCCTTCTCAGCTCAGCTCACAAGCATTGACTCAGCTTCATGGTCTCTTGTGAGAGGCTGCAGGTATTTATATTCCCATTCTACCAAGGAGGAAACTGGATCAAAGAAGGCGAAGAGCATGAACCTGACACTGCTGTAAATAAGATTAGTAATTTACTATGGCATAAGATAATACCTGTGTCTGATGGAACTATCCTATGCCGGAGTAAATTAATCTACTGCACAGTATTGTGGCGCACATGTAGACAGTGACACTTTACTACGTGTTAGTCTAATATGCAGTAGACATGCCCAGTTTGTCTTTTTAAAGCACAAAGAACAAGTACATATATTTGAAAACCTCTTGGCCCCTGTTCCAGAAATGTAGAGTATGTGATAAGAATAATTGTACTTTTTGTTAGTAAATAAGGAGGCTGTTTTATGGTGCTAATAAGAACACTCCTTCATTACTCTATGTTGCTTCCTTAAAAGTTTTTCAGTTCTTTCCTTTGCAAAATAAGAGAGCAGTCTTAGAGATTTTAGCTCACGTACTTTACTCAAGCTAACTGAATGTAGGGTGTAGACATTAAAAAGACATTATTTAGCACTTAAAATAGCACTTTCCATGTTCAAAACACTAGTTAACCATTCACTAATTATGCCTCCCAGCACCTTTCATGGATAAGAATCAGTACCCCCATTTTAAAGATGAGGAAATGAGACAAAGACGTTAACTGACTCACCAAAGGCCACACAGTTCAAACTTGGATTTGATGACAGGGATTTAGGCTCTGATTTTCCTTTCCAGACCCACACACCAGTTTTTAATATGTACTATTGCTCCCCTACATTAAGATGGTTATAAAAGCAGTGTTACTTTTTTATATACAAAGGATATTGGTCACCATTAAAAAGGCAACATTTGCAAATAGTTACCACAATACCTGGTCAAATTATTCATTGAACATTGTATTTACTGTACATTCCCTACCTCCTTTTCTTATAGCTTTTGAATTCTTTGAACATAGGCTCTAAATTTGCATGAAGTGAATATAGGTGCATTTCAACACACAACTTGTTTGCTAATTTTGATTAGTTGCTAATTATTTGTTACATTATTTGTAATATGAGACTGACCACTTAAAAGTAATAATGTTACTTCTCCTACTTAATTATCTGACTAAAATTTATAAAACCACAGTACAACAATTTGGGACATATGTGCTAAAATTTAAGAAATTGGAGATTTGAGATCTTTTCCATGTATAACTCTCAGCCATCAAACTACTTGTGAACCATGTACAATATAAGGTCCACAACTGACAGCAAATTGAAGTCTAGGCATTAATTCCAGAAAATATTTCTGTATTGTTTTATGTACAACTAGCTCTAGTTATTCCACAGTGGGATCTGACTCACCACCATTAGCTCCTTACAATTAGAAGTTGCCATAACTGCATTGTGTGGTAATTGCTGATACATGTTGACTTTTTAATGACAAGCACTTTAAATGGGACTGATTTTCAGTGATTGATTAGTCCCAGACCTCTAACAAAAAAAGGGTATAAAAATATATGTTAGCTCTTCCACTTCTAGCATTATATTCAGATAATTCAACCACATTGAACCAAATGATCCTCAGCATCTATCAGACAGATGTAGACGGTTTGTTACACTACTACCGGGACTTAATTTTGGTGTAAATGTTACTCCTGCTAGCTCTTTGTATAAAGAATTAATTCCAAGAGTCATATTTCCTTCTAATGGAAAGATTGCTTTACTGATTGCTAGGAAAACAGGATAATAGAAGGCACTCAATTCAACCAAACAGTTTCCAAATGCTATATATATATTATGATTGGTTTGCAAAAAGCAACTTTAGGATCTGATCCTGTGAGTTGCTGGGCTCCCAGGGCTCCAGCTAGAGGCAATGAAAATGGAGGCCCCTCCACACCTCATTGGAGTTTCTCAAACCCTCATAAAATTAAAGGCCCTCAGTGTTTGAAGCTTTAGTTTTATGGAACTCCTGTCAAATGTTGGCTTCATATAAGCTTTAATGTTTCTACTTTGTGCTTCTCATTGTTAATTCCAGCTCCATTTCACAGCTGATAATTAATTTCCTCCATTTCATCTTATATTTTTAGATTGGGGCAATTTGTGCATTTGGGGAAGGTTTGAGGGTCTTGGCTGAAAGGCTTTTTGTACCCAAGACAATTTGTACTGTGATTGCTTTCATCTGTGTTCATCCTAAGCAGCCTGTACTGATGGGAGTTCTTCTTTGACTTGATTCCAGGGGACGGGGGAGGGGGCAAGTTGCCATCTTGATATTTAAGCAGAAAGGGCACATACCCTATTACCTAGGACCAGCATGAGCTATGTACTGGGCTACTCTAGAAAAGTTGGGGAAAAGAATATTC